GCTAAGTGCAGATGGAGGGAGTTTCAACCCTCCAACTCTTCTTTACGAGAAGAGCCATGAGATTTTTAATGACCTCAGTTTAACATCAAAAAGACGGCCTTCACTGATAGTATAGTATCTCCTTAACTATACTGGGGCGTTAGGACTCACACAGACTACAGGTTGAGCGCCCCCTGCTGGCCTCATTAACACCTCTGCCTACAGCAACCTAGTTTTCCCATGTGGTCTCCCATCTAGGTACTGACCAGGCTCAGCCCTGCTTAGCTTCACTGAGTAACCACTCATGGGCTGCAGGGTGATATAGCTGTGGTCACTTAATAGAGTTTAACAAAGCAAAGACATTTTCACAGTAACTCCTATTATATTTTTCTTCTGTAAATGTGTTTTTTCTTTTAAGTTTGGCTGAGATTATTTTAGATGACTTTCTTGGTTCCACTGCCGCCCAATGACTTGCCTAATTAATAAAGCACTTATATATCTTTTAAAATAACAACTAAAATATTAAATACTGTCATCATGACAAAAACAAAAGATATCAGTAATTAGGAATTAATTAATAAACCAATTATGTTTAAAAATGTTAATAAACTGCACTTGGATAATATTTAAAATAATTTAGAATAGGGTCTTAAACTGTATATTCATCCACTTTACTGTGGCCGGGTCAAGTCTTAGGAGAGAACCCCAGACTTCCCTCTCCCAAGACACTTCCTCCAGCTCCTCTGGGGGGATACCAGGGCGTTCCCAGGCCAGCCGAGAGACATAGTCGCTTCAGCGTGTCCTGGGTTTTCCCAGAGGCCTCCTCCCGGTGAGATATAACTCAAACACCTCCCTAGGTAGGCGTCCAGGAGGCATCCGAAACAGATGCCTAAGCCACCTCAGCTGACTTCAATTGATGTGGAGGAGCAGCGGCTCTACTCTGAGCTCCTCACCCTCTCTATAAGGGTGCGCCCTGCCACCCAGCGAAGTAAACTTATTTCAGCTGCTTATATCCAAGATCTCGTCCTTTCAGTCATGACCCAAAGTTAATGAGCATAGGTGAGAGTAGGAACGTAGATTTAGACTCTTCTCCACAACAGACCGGTATATTGAGAGCAATACTGCTGCACCAATCCTATTTCGTATACAACATATTGTTTTAAAACTACCAGAAAATGTCAATAAAAGTCAATTTTTCAACATTGGACATCAGCAGAACAGAGCCCAGGATCTCATATGGCAACTCACATCTGTAAAATAAACGATTTAAAAATCACAAAATATGGAAACTATTAATTAACGGATATTTCACCCCATTATTACACCAAAAGGACGCTAAACCAAGCAGCCACATGTCAAGCGTGCGTGATTATCAAACCTTAAAAAGGCTATTAGAAGATAAGCTACTGTAAAACAGAAAAATGCTACGAAAGAGAAGAAAAAAAAGCTACAAGCTCCAGCATTAAAACCCCGCAGGAACCGCTCGACTCGCATGATCACACTAAAACTGCACAGCGTTCACTCGGAAACAGACCTGCAGGAACAGAAGCATTGAAACCAGCAGCAGACTCACGCACAACTGCACTGCTTTCTCATTAAGCAAATACTTCAAATCACGCGACATTCGCTCATTCGTCCCTCTGAAGGCAAAATGCTAACAGTACCAGGCACAAACTGGCCCTCATTGACAAGTCAAAACTTACTGTACTTCTACTGTACATGCTGATAAAGCATCAACACAATTCACTTACGACAGAAACCCTCCGTTTACACCCAAAACTTGCTTGATTTTCTTTATCCGAGCGAAAAAGAAGCACATACATGTAGTATACTTCTAATAAAAGAGTATGTCTTGAATTTTGAGCTTGTTAATTGATACACATGGAGATGCATATTACTTTTAATATATTAAATGAAGTTTGTTTACATTTCTGATGCATTTAAAGGTCCTGTGAAATTAAAATAACCCTATAAGTCTGTTAGTTTTGATATCTAGTGTGCTCCAAACTGACAAAATTCACATTTAGAATATATAAATCTGAAATAAACATTCAAAGCTTGCAGTTTGTCTCTTCCACTGAAATGGATTATCAATTATTTTGACATCACCTCATACTCAAGTTTCTTATTAAATCTGACCAATCAAATGACCTCTCGTGTTTGACATGCTCCGCCCCCTCATTCTTAACATTGGCTGTTCATTCGATGCGTTTTAGCTCAATCACTCCCACTGGCAGAGCTGTGATAAAACACGACACTATTGGCTGTTTTTTTAAAGGGGAGGGGCTACTATAAGTCCCACCCTCTCTTTGTTTCAGTTGCGATTACGTCAAACATTCAATAAAAATGCACATTTTAAAGCACTTTACAGAACCTTCAAAGTTATATTTACCTAAAACAATAACAATATTGATGTAATTAACTCATTCTCCATTGAATTTCTTTATTTCATTACATCTAAAAGACAATATTTTGAAGAAATCAACAGCCACTGACTTCCATGATATTTCTTCCAACTATGGAAATCCCAACATTCTTCAAAATATCCTGCTGAAAAATTATAAGCCATTATAACAGGTGAGTAAATGATGAGTAAAATAAAATATTTGTGGTGAACTTTCAACTAAATATAAGATTTATTTTTAAATATAAGATTCATTATTTTTCTTTAACTGTAATATTTTGCTTAATGCACTGGCAAACGTTTATGGTGAGCAAAAATATAAAGTAATTTCTATTGTGTACACATTTGTGACTATAAACATTCAAATTAGTAAAACATATTAACATATTGCATGGGTAGATCATATGCATTAGCCAAAAAAAAAAAAAAAAAAAAAGCATTAAAGCTTTTTGGTCTTTTATGCCAAAAAGCATTAGAATTTAAAGTAAATGTCATGTTTCATTGAGATATTTAGTAAATCCCCTACTGTAAATAAATCAAAACGCAAATTTTGATTAGTAATATGCAATTAAGCACTTAATTTGTTCAACTTTAAAGGTGATTTTCCTAATATTTAGATTTTTTTAAATTCAGATATTAAAATAGTTGCATCTAAAATGCTATCCTAACAATCCATACATCAATAGAAAGCTAACTTATTCAGATTTTACATGATTTTGTGGTCCAGGATCACATATTTTTGTATGTTAGTCAACACATAAAATTATGTGTGCTTTGCTAAAGCATGACAAATTATTTAAAATGTACTTATTATAATGTATAAATCATTATAAAGTGCATTTAAGACGTCTCTCTTTAAGTGTCACTTTCTTAATGAAGGACACTTTTAAGATCAGAAGTACACTACATTATAATCGAGCGCACTTCTTTTTCACCAGGTCATCATTCATCCGTCATCCTCAAACCCTCTGCACTTTCTAGGAGCTGCGTTTGACACTATGAGCGCTGTTTACTGTGCGTGTGGTTTAATATCTTATAGGCATTGTAGGAGACCGTAATATTGCTTTACAATAACAAGGAAAAGGAAACGACATCCGCTGGTCACGATCAAATAAAAGTCAAGATACGAAAGAGTCAAACGACACGGAGTTCATTGCTACAGGATTCACTCAAACACACACCATCACGAAATAGAGAGAGATTCAGATCAGCTAGAGCTCAATGGTAGATCTATACTGGAGGAGAGATGGTCACATGACAGCCCTGTGCATGTGTGTGTGTGTGCTGCCTTCAAATCATCAGGAGTCAGAGACAAATCTCATCAATATTGTTCAGGAAGCCACTAGTTTTACTCAATATTAAATTCTGCTGCTCAGAAAACATCATTTAATTACACATTATTATTATTTTAATGTACAATTCACGCTATGAACAAGACTTTTGCCTCAATAAATGAGTAATTAGCTGCTTATTAATAGTTAGTAAGGTAGTAGTTGGGTTTAGGCATTGAGTAGGATTAGGATGTAGAATATAATCTTATTTAAGTGCTGATAAACTGTTCATATCTTAATAATCAGCAGGTAATAAGCCAGTATTTAACAGTGTGAATAAATTAAAGTGTAACCAATGTTTTTTTTGTCTATGTTGCCAATATTTGAACCATAAAAGTTTGGTCATACTACACTTTCTACTGCATTGGCTTCCATTACATATATATATATATATATATATATATATATATATATATATATATATATATATATAATTTAAATGCGGTCATGGGGAAACAAGTTCATGTAAATTAAAGCTGGGTGGGCAAACTTTCAGTGCAAACTTAAAATAGTCTCACTTTAAAATAAGGTTCTATTAGTTAATGGTAATTATGAACAATAACTTATAAACAATCAATATTTGTGTGCCTTTATTAATCATAGTTCAACATTTACTAATGAATTATTACAATTAAAAGTTGTGTTTTTTACCATTAGCGAATGAACTTTAGTTAATAAGAACAATGAATGACTTCATTTTCATTCAGTAACATTACAAAATATGAATAAACAGTGTCATAAATGTATTATTCCTTGTTTACGTTAGTAAATATGTAAATTTACATTAACTAATGGAACCTTGGTGTAAAGCGTAAACCTTAAAACCTATCAAGTAAATGCAAAAGATTAAAATTAAATGCAAAAATGTTAATTTACTTGTAAATTTTAATACACAAAATCTTGAATTATATATTGTCACTATTACAGACTGTTGCAGTGCCTGTAGGAATGAAAACAATGTTTTTTTTTTTACAAGAAAATACCATTTCAGTTGTTATTTTATTTCGATTAATATCGTTTATGAAATTTTATTGTAATTTTCAGAATAGAAATTTAATCTTCAATGTTCCTGTGGCTTAAAGTCTGTATGAAATCAAAAATTGCAATGTTCATTAAAGTCAGTTTGTTTTGTTAATCTTTAATCAAAATCTGCTTCCACTCTGGAAGAGCAGCCTTTCTCTGATGACTGATTGGGTGAAATATGCTTATCCACGCCCACTTATTAATAAAACATGAGAGGCGGGGCTCAAAAATAAACCCCGCCCCCTAGTCAATATTCCCTTTCAGTTGGAAATACATCTTCATACAAAATTAAAGTCTGCAGTAACTTTCGGTTCAAACAGACTTTAAAGCTTCATGTAACAAAACTACATTTCCCATCAGTCTTTGTGCGTCATTGTGTCCTCATTCGCATACTATCCGTCCTAAAGAGTATTCGAAAACAGAATTAGTATGTCCCAAACCATAGTGTTTTAAAAAGAGTATGCCAAAAGTTCCCGGATGATTTACTATTTCTGGTAAAAATTTGAAGTGTACAACTGTCTGTACTCTAATTGATAATATTAAAGTTATAATAATAATAATAATATTATTAATAATAATAATAATAATAGCAATAGCGCTAACACATTGTGCGTTGGACATGAATTTGACTACAAAGTCGTAAAAAGTGTAAATAAACTACAAACATGGCGGAAATGAGAGACAAACCATCAAGTCAAGAGGCTTCAGTAAAGTTAATTAAAGTTAATTATCTTTCATCTGCAACAACAATGTGTACCTATATCAAGACATGTTTGCATATTAACTTCAAAATGCAGAATTATCCAAAGAACCGAGGAGATTTCTCTGCATGAAAGACTCGCCAATGGCAGATTACACTGCTGCTGCTTAGGTAGGCTATTAAATATGATAGGGAATTAGTATATTCCAAAGCTTGCATACTCTTCTGTTACACAATCAAATATATACACTTTTCCTTCACAAAAAAAGTAAACACTTTTAGGGCGTAGTATAAGTGTGTGAATTGGGACGCAACGACAGTCCTCCGCTCTCATTACCTTCTATTGATTTCTAGACGTTAAAAACAGCTTGATGACGCAAACTGATCGTCTCGTAATATTTTATTCTGCTTATTATGTATAATCATGAACACACTTGCTTATAGAGCGAGTAGTTTGATTAAAAAATGAGCTTTTGCAGAATATCAGTTCCACATCTAATGAACTTTGTTGATTTTAGTTTGATTGGAAAGCATTGATCTTCCATCTAAAAATCTTTAACATTACTTGTTTTTCCCACCTGAATGACCTGAAGGCAGCAGGATCTAATGTCCAGATGGATCTGAGATGTGTGTGTGTGTGTGTATGCAGCGGTCAGATGGACACATGACGATGAATATGAGGAGTACAGAACAGATCAATAATAAAAGAAACGCCGCTAAATTCATGCTCTACAACACTTGAGGATGTAGAAGGTTCAGTTTAGCCAACTCATTGTTTTGCACATCATCCTTCAGGAGTCACAATCAGGAGCGTCAACAAAGAGCACACCAATCACATGATGAGTCAGAGCAATGGTAGGAGGTGGGGTTTAGAGCGCAGCGGGCCAATGGGAAGCGAGAGTCATGTGTGCTCCAGGTTCGGGGTGGTGTGAGAGCGAGGGATGCCGGCGGTGGAGGACAGCGAATCGTTGAGCGAGACGCTGCTGCGGAGAAGCTGTTGCTGGACTGGGTTTTCATCAGAAACGGGCCACTCGATGATGTCGGCGCCGTGGTCCGTGCGAGAGCGGGCGTTCTCGCGGAAATTTAGCTTGAAAGACTCAATCTGCATCATAGAGTGTGGAGAAAGACAGAAGACAGAGACAGATAAACAGGGGAGGAGAGGAAGCGGTCGGGGGTTGAAATGAAAAGGAAAAGTGATAGCAAAAAGTCGAGTTAGATGCCTGAAAAATAAGAAGAGGTCAAAACGGTTTGGGGATCAGAAAGCGGCTCTTTTAAAAACATCAGCTCAGCGCAGAGGTCGGCTGATTCATACAGTAGTCAGCATCTGAAGTGGACTTTCATCAACTTGCATCAAAGTTGTCCTAAATCTGTTGAACAACATGCATTCTTGCATTAGGGCAACTTCGAAAAACTTGATTGTGTTGATCCACTTCAAATGCTGACTATGTCTGCAAATTCTGTACAAGGCTGTACAAGTACATGCAAATTCAATTCAATTCATCTTTATTTCGATAGCGCTTTTACAATGTAGATTGTGTCAAAGCAGCTTCACATTTAAGTTGTAGTAGATTGTAACTGTGGCAGACCCGTTTTCAGAGTTTAAGTTCAGTTTAGTTCAGTTCAGTGTGGTTTAACTTTTACTGCTGCAAGTCCAAACACTGAAGAGCAAATCCATTGATCTGCATTCGAAATTGTTATTTCCAAATTTAAGACATTAAATGAAAGAATTAAAAAGCTAATTAGTTGAAATATTCGTATTATGCATGTAATCTAGTTCTGCTGCTTGCAAAAAAAAAAAAAAAAAAAAAAAAATATATATATATATATATGTATATATATATATACATATACATACTGTTGAAATCGGAGACAGAGAGCTTGTTTAACGTTGTTTAACGGAGAGCAGATTACTTCAACACATTTCTGAAAATAATAGTTTTAATAACTCATTTTTAATAACTGATTTATTTTATCTTTATCATGATGACAGTAAATAATATTTGACTAAATATTCTTCAAGACACTTCTATACAGCTCAAAGTGACATTTAAAGGCTGAACTAGGTTAGTTAGGTTAACTAGGCAGGTTAGGGTAATTAGGCAAGTTATTGTATAACGATGTTCTGAAGACTATCGAAATAAAATATAGCTTAAAGGGGCTAATAATATTGTCCTTAAAATGATGTTTAAAAAATTAAAAACTGCTTTTATTCTAGCCAAAATAAAACAAGACTTTCCCCAGAATAAAAAATATTATCAGACATACTGTGAAATTTCCTTGCTCTGTTTAAACATAATTTGGGAAATATTTAAAAAAGAAAAAAACAAAATCAAAGGGGGGCTAATAATTCTGACTTCAACTGTATATATACATACATTATGTATGTATTTACATGAATTTAAATTATGAGTGTAAAAACGTTTTGTTTATTGTTTTATTCAATAGTTTTATTGCATTTTTAATGTATGCATTTATTTAGTACTTTGATTGAAAAAACTCACATTCTGTCTTTTATTTCATATTTGATTTCACTTGACATATTACATATACATTGTTTGATTACTTTTTTATTTTACTTGTAATAAAAATGCAACATTTGTTTTATTTACAACTGAGTTTTTTTATTTATTTTATATTTACTGAAATTAAAAGTTACATTTAAATAATAATATTTATATTATATAACATTTTGATTTTAATGAAAAGGTCAATATTTTTTTCCAGCAATTTCAGTGGTTCATTCATTCATTCGTTCATTTCTTTTCGGCTTAGTCCCTTTATTCATCAGAGGTCACCACAGCGGAATGAACCGCCAACTTATCCAGTATCTGATTTACACAACTTATCCAGCATATGATTTACATAGCGGATGCTCTTACAGCTGCAAGCCAGTACTGGGAAACACCCATACACACTTCTTCACACACACACTCATACACTACAGAAATTAGTTTGCTCAATTCCCCTATAGCGCATGTGTTTATACTGTGGGGGAAACCGCCAACACGAAGAGAACATGCAAACTCCACATAGTAATGCCAAATGCCGAACCAGCGACCTTCTTGATAAAGTGCTAACCACTGTGCCGACCTTGTCACTGTGTAGCCCCTGAATATTTGATTTTAAATGTTACATTTATTATATTTATTATTATATAGTAATTTTAAAATCGGAATTTACCAAAATAGTTTATTCAGTGTTTTAGTTTTATCCATTTCAATTTTGTAATTGCATTTCAACATTCAATGATTTCATATTTTGAGTGGACTTTTGCTTTGCTTTTATTATTTTTCAAAATTTACGTTTGACTCTTATTCATCTTTTTCACAAAAACGTTGCCTTCAGTTTTAACCCTTTGACTTTCCTTCAAATTAAATCCATTTATTCGTTTTTAACGTAACATACAGATGCAACTTTGATTTAAAATTCAGATTTTCACTTGCTTTGTTTTTTGGTTTTGCATTATTAATCAGTCGACCTCTCGCACTATGATAAATCAGACAACAACAATAATCAGCATGCCGCTTAAACATAACAAAATCACTCAAAATAAGCAACAACTGAATAGAATGATGGATAAACACATGAGAGCAATGGCCTCTGGATGTCAGTCATAATCTAAATCAGCTCTAGTCTGGCGGGGGGCTTCGGTGGGCTGCTTTTGGGCTGGGTTCACACACAAACTTACTTGTTTCAGGGATGAGCAAGTCCAGGCCCTGCGAGTCCCGGATCGGGTCACTCTTGCAGGGGCCGCCGTCCTTCAGCCCATTCTCCTGGGCATCAGCGGCGGCAGAAACACCACTGCAGGGAGTCTCCTGAACCCCCTCAGCCTAAAACACACAGCAGCACGTCAATAGCACACATGAGGGTGGGATGAGGACGAACACACACATACACAATGCATGCTGGAGGTAGATGGAGGATATACAGCACCAGAATGATTGAGCGGCAGAAATTTACCACTGCTGTTCCAAAATGGATGAAAGCTTTAATATTAGCTTAATATTACGCCTGTCGTAATATAACAAAACTTTTATTTTGATGGGTTACTATGAGGAAACTGTGAGTTTCTATGTGTACATTAGAGTTGGAGTCCATTGCAAAAAGAATCGATTCCTTGATTCTGATCCGTTCAGAATCAAGAGTCATTTCTAAACACAATTGATTCCACTATTCCAAAGTGATTCCTTGATTCAGAGGTGTTATTAAAGAAGAATCAATTCCAAAAACAAATGATTCCTCAATTCTGAGGCATTGGCAATCAAGAGTCTACAAAATAATTGACTCCTCGAATCTGAAGTGTTGTAAATCAAGAGTCAATTGCAAAAACCACTGGTTCCTCAATTCTGAGACATTGAGAATCAGGAGTCAATTCAAAAACCTTTGATTCGTTGATTCTGAGACATTGAGAATCAGGAGTCAATTGCAGAAACCACTGATTCCTCAATTCCGAGACATTGAGAATCAGGAGTCAATTCAAAAACCATTGATTCGTTGATTCTGAGACATTGAGAATCAGGAGTCAATTGCAAAAACCACTGATTCCTCAATTCCGAGACATTGAGAATCAGGAGTCAATTCAAAAACCATTGATTCGTTGATTCTGAGACATTGAGAATCAGGAGTCAATTGCAAAAACCATTGATTCCTCAATTCCGAGACATTGAGAATCAGGAGTCAATTCAAAAACCATTGATTCGTTGATTCTGAGACATTGAGAATCAGGAGTCAATTCACAAACCACTGATTCCTCAATTCTGAGACATTGAGAATCAGGAGTCAATTCAAAAACCATTGATTCGTTGATTCTGAGGCATTGAGAATCAGGAGTCAATTCAAAAACCATTGATTCGTTGATTCTGAGAAATTGAGAATCAGGAGTCAATTCACAAACCACTGATTCCTCAATTCCGAGACATTGAGAATCAGGAGTCAATTCAAAAACCATTGATTCGTTGATTCTGAGGCATTGAGAATCAGTAGTCAATTCAAAAACCATTGATTCGTTGATTCTGAGACATTGAGAATCAGGAGTCAATTCAAAAACCATTGATTCGTTGATTCTGAGACATTGAGAATCAGGAGTCAATTCAAAAACCATTGATTCGTTGATTCTGAGACACTGAGAATCAAGAGTCAATTGCAAAAACCACTGATTCCTCAATTCCGAGACATTGAGAATCAGGAGTCAATTCAAAAACCATTGATTCATTGATTCTGAGACATTGAGAATTAAGAGTCAATTCCAAAAACCATTGATTCTTCGAATCAAAAGTGTTGAGAATCAAGAGTCATTTCCAAAAGATAAATAATTCCTCAATTCTGAGGTGTTAAGAATCAGAGGTCAGTTTCAAAAACAACTGATTCCTTGAATCTGAGGCTTTGAGAATCGAGAGTTGATTTAAATAACAATTGATACCTTGATTCGGAGGTGGGAAGATACAAGAACTGATTCCCAAAAACAACTGAATCCTCAAATCCAAGGCAGTGAGATTAGGGAGTCCATTCCAGAAACAATTGATTCCTTGATTCTGAGGTGTTGAGAACGAAGAATTGATTCCAAAGACAATTGATTCCTCAATTTTGAGGTATTGACAATTGAGAGTCTACAAAAAAAAAATTTGTTCCTTAATTCTGAAGTGTTGAGGATAGAGAGTTGAAAACAACTGATTCCTTGATTTCAGAGGTGTTGACATTTGACTCAATTCTAACAATATTGGGTTCTTCAACTCAGAGGCGTGAAAAATCAAGAATTCCTTCCAAAAATAATTGAATGCTGAAATCTGCATTGAGGATAGGAAGTCACACCCAAAAACAACCGATTCATTAAATCAGAGGCAATAAGATTTGGGAGTCAATTCCAAAAACAATTGATTCCAAAATTCTGGGGTGTTGACAATCGACAGTCTACAAAAAAAATAAAAATAAAAATAATAATTCCTTGAATATGAAGTGTTTGGAATCAAGATTCGATTGCAAAAATAACTGATCCCTTAAATCCGAGGCGTTGAGAATCGAAGTCGATTCCAAAAACAATTGATTCATTGATTCCTAGGTGTTGAGAATTGAGTCTATAAAAAATGGATTCCTCAAATCCAAGGTGTTGAGAGTTGATTAAAAAAAAAAAACAACTGACTACATGACTACATAAAGCATTGACACTTGGGAGAGGACAAAAAACATTTATTCGTTGAATTCGAAGTGTTGAGAATCGAGAGTTGATTCCAAAACAATTGATTCTATGTATTGTTCAGTAAATCAATATATTAAATATTGTTACAGAAGGATCCAGTTTAACTAGCAGTAAACAACCCTTCCACTGCATTTATTAGTCTCTGCTAAAATTACAAGTTTCCATGAATACAAACATCTCACATTAATGCATTTACTTAAGAAAGCAAAACACTAGACTGGTGCTGTATATCTGCAACACCTAAACATAACACAATAATGAAAGCTTAATACAATAAATAATTAATAAAATGATAAGAGAAGCATGATAACGAAATTACATTCATGTATACATTATATACACATAAACAAAAAAAAAGCATGTGGATCTGAACCTCAATTGCAATATAATGTACAGTATATAATCACAAAAATGAAAAGCAGTGCATATGCATCCATGCAAATGGAGATGCCCGGCGATCATTAAATTGAATGTATTTGAGACTATTTAAAATCATTTTGTATTATTAACATTATTAATTATCTATACAACTAAACTAAAAGAAATAAGACTTTATCCAGAAGAAAAATATAATAGGAAGTATAGACAAAATGTCCTTATATAGTATATTTAACAGCACTTATATAGTATTAGAATAGTATTATGAATATTAGAAAAATGTAAAAAAAAATTAACAGGATTGCTAATATTTGTGTTTAAACTGTTTGTATTTATTGCAAAAGTATATATAAACTGCATTTTTGTTAACACTTTAAATTAAAGTGATGTAGTTGCACATGTTCCATGCACTTACTATAGTAATGACAATGAATTATGCATAATAACATGTAACTAATCCTAAACCTAGCCCACATTCGAAGCCCAAACATTACAATAAGTACATGTAAATGATCACTCAGAAGTTAAATTAATAGTTTTACCTTAACATAAAGTGTGAGGAACATATTAAACCAGCATCAGTGTGATGAAATCTGCTCATGCTGTATTGAATGTGGATGGCTATGGAACAGTAATGGCGTGGTCATGTGACTGGGATGGATGGCTATAGGCTGAGGGGCAGGTGACATCACGACCACTGCAAACCCACCAGGAGGAGCGTGGAAAACAACCCAGCGAGACCAAAACCCAAAACCCTCACCATCCAAACAGATCTCTAATTGAGCGCTTTCATTAAGTATCCTGTTGCCTAACATTACATTTCCCATACATATAATCCTGAGGGTTTGTGGCTGGAATGGAAACACTTGCAGCAAATGGATTTCAAACAAATAAAGCATGAAGACTTGTAAAAAAAGCACCGTAATCCTTCAGTATGTGTTAAGCTTCCAATAAAAGTGTGAGGTTAAATTATCTGGAGGTACTTACCACTCAACAAACGCCATTTAAAATCTTTATATACCTCCTACCTTTCTTAAAAACACAGCTGTAGCCATTTGTCATCATTCCACATACAATCAAGTTTACTATGATCACTTAAAGGTCCCATGAAATTAAAATAGGTTTTTGAAGATGTTAGTATGAGTATTATTCATTTTTAGGAAATGTATAACCTAGTGTGCTTCAAAACAGTAAAGAACTTCACACATACAACTTAGATAAACATGTAAAGCTTGTGGCTTGTCACTACTGCCTAAACAGATTTTCAATAAAACTATTTTATAGTCGTCACTTCAGTTTTTCATCACATCATAACCAATCAAATGCTCGCTAGTGTCTGACATGCCCCGCCCCTTTTCAAGACGCTTCTCGTTTGCTTTTCATTTGATGCGCTTGAGCTCAGTCAATCTCACTGACAGAGCGGGATTAAACAAAACGCTATTGGCCGTTTTTTAATAAGGGGAGGAGCTATGTCCCGCCCTCTCTTCGTGTTTCGTTGGAGGTCACGTCAAATATCGAATAAAAATGCAAACTTCACAGCACATCATAGGACCTTTAAGCTATTTTCAAAATATAGTTTAATATAAATACATCATATGTTTTGTTTAATTTTGCCAATGTATCCTGAATTACAGTAAAAATGCAACATTAAACCAGATCATTGTTAATTTTGTACAAAATTCATCTGAAACATTAAAGTAGCCCCATTATTTGCATTTCATATACTTTCTCTGCATATAAAACTGATTTTAATACAAGTACAGCTCAGAATATTTTGTTTCATTTGGACAACGTATCCTTTAAGCTCAATTACTGTACATTTAACATAAGTTCATCCATATTTTGTCAATTTATTCCAAAAAAATTATCTGAAACATTAAATTAGACACTTTATTTGCATTTTATATACTTTGCATATAAGATTGCTAAACTACAGTTCAAGAGTTCGCCCTTAGCTGATGATTGATTATGAAGCGTGTTTGGCATGCTGTCCCGGGAGAGAGCCTTGAGTTCAGGTAGGTCTCGAGAACTCCCCTGCTTGATAATGTTGGAAGTAGATTGATGCTGTGAAGTGTCTAAGCTGTCAATTTAGATTTGTCAATTTGCTTATGTTACATGTTTTTGGTCTGTGGGAGGAAACCGGAGAGCCCGGTAAAAACCCACACAAACATGGGGAGAACATGCAAACTCCACACAGAAATGCTGACTTAGCCAGGTAGTGTCTGAGCCAGTGGCATTCTTGCTGTGAGGCATTGATGCTAACCAGTAGGCCTCCGTGCTGCCCTGACAAGAACATGGGAGGAGTAGGGGTGGATTCTTCAAGACGAAGATGGCTGAGGTAAGATACTCTGGTTATTTATAGTGGTTGAGGAGTCGTCTGATTGGTAAATCAGTGTTAGCTAATGTGGACCAGCTGCTATCAATCATAAGCACCTGCTCCTCTTGAAATTAGTTTATAAATAAACCTCACTAGTATTTTACCTAAATTCACCCCTATTTTATCAATTTACTTTTACAGAAATGGATATGAAACGTTAAAGTAGGCACTTTTTGTGTATTTTATACACTTTTGTTGCATATAAAATAAATTGTGCCTACATTATTTAATGTCGACACCAAATAGTGCCCTTGAGCTGAAGATACATAGTCAAATTTCATGTCTAAGTTTAACTTGGCTGTTTCTTTGCAATTGTGAGTGTAAAGTCTTTCTATAATATAAACCAATATATAACATATAGTATTATTACAACAATAATATTAAGCTCATTTGAAATAATTAACTTTTGGGTTAATTATTCCTTTAAACACCAAAACAAAACTATAAATATACTGAAAATGTCTTCTAATGTCTTATAATAACAGTATGGATATAAAATAACAGCATGGATGAATAGAGTACTTGATATTTTTGTAATGGAGAAACTAATCTAAGATTAAAATCTCATATATTTACAACACAATGAAGAAACTGGATTGAGCATATACCCCCTACACGCTTTAGACTTTGTGAACTGAATAAAATAAAAGCGTATACACAGACATTCCAGGCATCGGGTCCAAATGTGTTGAGGGATTTTTCCTTAACTTATTTGTTGTTTGTTAGTTGATTGTCTTTTTGTTTAATTTTAAAAGCAGGAATTTTTATAAGAGGTATGCAGAACTTACTTTGACAAACGTACGAGAATACTTTTAAGTGTTTGTACTTATAATTCAAACTAATAATAGTAATGTTATCCATAAACGTCTGCTTCTTATAATTCCATATGGAGACATGCTTGATTGTCTGTATATGAATGGTTCAATAATAACACTGCCTGATTTCTCATGAACACCTATAATGTCTCTAAAGGTTTAACTGGATGTTTGTGCAAACCTTGATTTTCCCTCCTCCAGGCTCATGGTTGACATTATCCATGGATCCCACCTTGGACTGAGCTTTATCCTTATAGTTCACCTTATGGCTCTCGATCTTGACTTCACCTCCACCTGCAGAAACCATCAAACATTTACAGTTCACACTTTACAATAAGGTTGGATTAATTAATGTTCATTCAGTCATTTTTCTTCAGCTTAGTCCCTTATTTATCAGAGGTTGCCACAGCGGTATGAACCCATACACACCTACATTTACACACACACACTGTGGCCAATTTAGGTCATCAATTTCCCTATAGCGCATGTGGTTGGATAGTAGGGGAAACCAGAACACCCGGAGGAGAACAGGGAGAACATGCAAACTCCACACATAAATGCCAACTAGATAAAAAAAACGAGCATGAGGCATTTTTTTTTTTAAATGACGTTTTTGTGGCTGGCGTTTTAAGCGTTGGTGTTTACGATCACATTCACAACCTTTATTTAGTCACGGGGCGTTAAATGTCGACGTAAAATGCAAACAAAAAACGTCTCAGTGTGCACGGGCCTTAACTATGATTAATTATATAGAATTATATTGAATTTTCTTTATTTTAATCATTCAGTTACCGTACTTGAATACTGTTAGACTTGCCTTGCACCGCATGTATGATAGGGCCCATTAAGTCATCTGTTAAAACTGTATTCATATCGCAATATTTATTGCTAAATAAAAAAATATCCCAATGTTAGATTTTCACAATATCCAGAACACAGTATTAGTTCCTGTAGTAGTTGATGTCGTTGGTATAGTGGTAGCAGAAGTAGTAAAAGTGTCGTTGTAGCAGTAGTAATCGTTGTTGGTGTAGTAGTACCAGTAGTAGATGTCGTTGATGTAGATGTTGTAGTAGCAGTGATTGCGGTAGTAGTAGTAGTAGTAGACGTTGTATTAGTTGTAGCAGACGCTGTAGTATCAGTAGTGGTAGTCATTGTTGTGGTAGTATCAGCAGTAGTAGACATTATAGTAGTAATAGTTGTGGTTGTGATTGTAGTAGCAGCAATAGTAGTTAATAATTATATAGTAATATAAGTAACTTTCTGCAGTAGTAGTAGTTAGGGTAGTACTTGTGATTTATTATCATTGTCATTTATTATTACTGTTGTCCTTTCTTTCTTTTTACTGTCATTATTTCTATTATACATTACTAAGCATAGTTGTTACTCCCTAACTCTGACTGGTTTCTTTTGTATCTGTTTTACTTTTATCTGCGAGACTAGATTCATTTATTGGCTAACATTGTTCCTAATATATGTAATCTGACCTTCCACCAAGTTACCTTTACATGGACACACACACACACACACACACACACACACACACACACACACACACACACACACACACACACACACACACCTAACAGTACCTGACTATATTGTTTTTTTTTGTTTTTTTTTGTTTTTGTTTTTTTTGTTTTTTATTGTTGTTTTGTTATGGTTTTTTGTTGATGTTTTTTGTATTTGTATGATCCCAATTTATGTACCTTTTTGCATATTCTAATAAAAAAAAAAAAAAAAAAAGATTCTGCAGCTCTATCAATTAGCCAAGAAAATAGTTTTTAAGACCAAAAACCCTGAAATAAAAAGAAACTGCAACGGCAACTCTAGAAGAACAGTCCTTCACATCTCCTCATACCTGGTTTATGTTTGATGTTGGATTTGGATCCACACTTCGAGGTCACTTTACTCAAGTCGATCTTCTTGCTGAGAATCTGAACCTGTGAACACATACAATCATCCCACATGACCAATGAAATGAAAGATGGCGAAATCAAAACTGAGCAACGGGACATGCAGTGGATCAACCTAAAGCAAACAAGATGGCGAGGGAAGGAAAGACACACCAAAAACTCTTCAATGACATGACTTCAGAAATTTGATCTGGAGTTGGTGTATAAACAAACACCCAGAGTCAAAACCTCCTGATTTGCTTGTTTTGGAAAACGCAGCTCAGCACCAGCAGATATGAGAAATCCTAATTCGTCCCTGAGCACCAGCAGCTCTTATATGTGAAGAAAGCGCCTCACTGTTTTATGGCACAATGGACAGAATGAAGGTGTTTGTCTGATATGGACTACACCGCATGCAGTGGCGTTACTTACGTTCCCTCCACCAGGAATATGTTTCATATTGTCCTTGGAGCCCAAGCGTGAGGTCACGTGACTGTAGTCCACTTTTTTGGAGACTATCTGAACCTATGAACACAGCACGGCAGGCGGGAGGAACGGGACACCAGGGAGGACCAGGTTAGAGAGGGGAGACAGAGGAGGACACAAGCAGAAGCACCTGAAAGCAGCTAAAACCCCACTGTGTGTGTGTGTGTGTGTGCGCGTGTGTGTGTGTGTGTGTGTGTGTGCCTGCGTGCGTGTGTGTGTGTGTGTGTGTGTGTGTGTGTGTGTGTGTGTGTGTGTGTGTGTAATGAGTCTGCAGTTAGTATCAGGGCTGAGGTGAGAAACCAATGCATTCTGATTGGGGGACCAGTATACATATTTCAGAATGGACTGCAACGCTCTCTGGGTTCTAGGTTTAGTTTTTAACAGCAGATGGTGCTCTAGACTAGTTTTAAACAGCAGTTGACGCTCTAGGCTAGTTTTAAACAGCAGATGGCACTCTAGACTAGTTTCAAACGGCAGATGGTGCTCTAAACTAGTTTTTACCAGCAGATGGCGCTCTAGGCTAGTTTTAAACAGATGACGCTCTAGACTAGATTTAAACAGCAGATGACGCTCTAGACTAGTTTAAACAGCAGATGACGCTCTAGACTAGTTTTAAAAAGCAGATGGTGCTCTAGACTAGTTTCAAATGGCAGATAGTGCTCTAAACTAGTTTTTACCAGCAGATGACGCTTTAGGCTAGTTTTTAACAAGCAGATGGCGCTCTAGGCTAGTTTTAAACAGCAGATGGTGCTCTAGGCTAGTTTTTAGCAGCAGATGATGCTCTAGGCTAGTTTCAAACAGCAGCTGGTACTCTAGGCTAATATTTAACAGTAGATGACACTCTAGGGTAATATTTAACAGCAGATGACGCTCTAGGCTAGTTTTTAACAGCAGATGACGCTCTATGGTAGTTTTAAAACAGCAGATGGCGCTCTAGGCTATTTTGTAACAGCAGATGGCGCTTTAGACTAGTTTTAAACAGCAGATGACGCTCTAGGCTAGATTTTTACAGCAGATGGTGCTCTAGGCTAGATTTTTACAGCAGATGGTGCTCTAGGCTAGATTTTTACAGCAGATGGTGCTCTATGCTAGTTTTTAACAGCAGATGATGCTCTAGGCTAGTTTTTAACAGCAAATGACGCTCTAGGCTAGTTTTAAACAGCAGCTGGTGCTCTAGGCTAGTTTCAAACAGCAGATGGCGCTCTAGACTAGTTTCAAACGGCAGATGGTGCTCTAAACTAGTTTTTACCAGCAGATGACGCTCTAGGCTAGTTTTAAACAGCAGATGACGCTCTAGGCTAGTTTTTAACAGCAGATGGTGCTCTAGACTAGTTTTTAGCAGCAGATGACACTCTAGGCTAGTTTGTAACAGCAGATGGTGCTCTAGACTAGTTTTTAGCAGCAGTTGACGCTCTAGACTAGTTTTTAACAGCAAATGGCGCTTTAGACTAGTTTCAAACAGCAGATGGTGCTCTAGACTAGTTTTTAGTGCTCACTAAAAACAATCATAATTTTTATTAATGAATATTATATTTTTGATTCAAGTGTTTTGTGTAAGGCATTGAAGGCTGACTGTAAAGCATACAGCCTAATCAGCTGGTAAAAATACACTCAGCATCCATTCAACAGAGAATTGCAATACATTCGGAAAATCTCAGCATCCATACAGAATCACTTCTCTATGCAATTATTCATCCCAGCTTTAGTTAGTATAAAAAACACCCATGAAACGTGTTGCTTCATTTGTCAACCTCGCTAACAGAAATCTCCCTTTTAGGACTTGTCCATTTCTGAACTGTTCTGCTCTTTAAATATGATTGTTTAATGAATGTGAATATGGTTGGTGAGATACAGACACAGATTATGATTTAGGAATACTCAAATCCTATAGTTTTTCCAGATTTTAAAACAGATTTTAGCATGTTCAAAACCCACACAAAGCTCTATTTACTAATATTCCAATAGACCTTCACTACAAGGTAGATTGATTTTAATTGGTTGTAATTTGAGTATCCCTGCTGTGATGAATAACACTTTGTTAATGATGTGATACACAATGTATGATAAAACATGAAAGACTGACAGAATGCAAGCTTTCCAAAGATCTACAAACAAACGGGAAGGTTAGTGGTAGAAGGTTATCTGTATATGTAAACTATTCATATGATTTACTAAATATGTATTATTTCACTTTTTATTATATACTGCACTTAGATGGTTATTATTATTAAATATATTAGTTATTGTTTAACTAATATAATTGTATATTGTTATATAAAACAAAGGGCTTTATTCTGTAAAATTGTGAAAATGTATTTTATATATATATATATATATATATATATATATATATATATATATATATATATATATATATATATATATATATATATATATATATATATATATATTCATATTTATACATATTTATATACATACACTCACTGGCCACTTTATTACAGTAAGTACACCTGTCTAACTGCTCATCAAATTTGTAATTAGCCAATCACATGGCAGCAACACGCTGCATTTAGGCATGTAGACATGGTCACGACGATCTGCTGCAGTTCAAAGCGAGCATCAGAATGGGGAAGAAAGGGGATTTAAGTGGCTTTGAACGTGGCATGGTTGTTGCTGCCAGACGGGCTGCTCTGAGTATTTCAGAAACTGCTGATCTACTGGGATTTTCACACACAACCATCTCTAGGGTTTACAGAGAATGCTCCGACAAAGAGGAAATATCCAGTGAGCGGCAATTCTGTGGGCGCAAATGCCTTGTTAATGCTAGAGGTCAGAGGAGAATGGCCAGACTGGTTCCAGCTGATAGAAAGGCAACAGTAACTCAAATAAGCACTCATTACAACCGAGCTCTGCAGAAGAGCATCTCTGAACACACAACACGTCCAACCTTGAGGCGGATGGGCTACAGCAGCAGAAGAGCACACCGGGTGCCGCTCCTGTCAGCTAAGATCAGGAAACTGAGGCTACAATTCACACAGACTCACCAAAACTGGACAATAGAAGACTGGAGAAACGTTGCTGCTCTGATGAGTCTCCATCTTCTGATGGCTGCGTTAATCATCTCAGACTGGTTTCTTGAACATGACAATGAGTTCACTGTACTCAAATGGCCACCACAGTCACCAGTTCTCAATCCAATAGAGCAGCTTTGGGATGTGGTGGAACGGCAGATTGGCATCATGGATGTGCAGCCGACAAATCAAAACTGTGTGATGCTATCATGTCAATATGGAGCAAAATCTCTGAGGAATATTTCCAGTACCTTGTTGAATCTCTGCCACGAAGGTTTAAGGCAGATCTGAAGGCAAAGAGGGGTCCAACCTGGTACTAGTAAAATACCTAATAAAGTGGCCGGTGAGTGTATATAATAGGTGTTATTTATAATAGCTATTCTTTACATTAAGTAAATAACAATGTATAAAAAAATAACAATACTTAATTGAATCAAGGCAGTGAGTTTGTGCACAATTCAATTAAGCAAACTGAACAAATGTATATTAACAGTGCATGTGGTGATGAGAAACAGAGACATGCAGAGATGTGATGATGATGATGAAGATGATGAACTCACTTTGCCCTGGCTGCTCTCTTTGGAGGCTGAGATCTGTGAGTCCGTCCTGCTCTGAGACCCTGAAACCTGCAGGCGCAACAATCCCACAATACACCCCTGCAGTCACTCATGTGTGTGAAGACAGATCTAACTACAGTCTGCTCAGCTTCACAAGAAAAACTGATCAAGTCAGAGAGAAAAACTGCTTAAAAAAACAGAAGAAAAACTGCACAAAATCACACTGCAAGAATGTTTGTCTCTTTCCAAGTCCAAATTTCTAAAAATATGTAAATCTAGAAGCATTTCCCAGAGTAGCAGAAAATAATTGCCTTGCTTTCAGAAATAATGAACTTATATTAAGTGAGTTTCTCCAAAACACATCTGTTTAGCTGTGCCTTTACTGAATGAGCACTGTGCTGCGTCCGACAGATCGCACTATCATGTTTTTCTTTTCTTTTTCATCATCTTATAAGATATTTTAACACATTTTTATCTCTTTTTTTATTCTTATTTTTATAATTTTTATTTTTATTATTGGTTTTCATTTTCTTGCCACTGTGTATGAAATGTGCTATATAAATGTGCTATATATAATAACATATAACAAATGTTATATAAAAAACAACTTGCCTTGCCTAAAATAAGCAACATAATCAGCCAGAACATGAAGAAAAATAATGTTTAAATAATTTATAGTCAGATTATTTTGCTTGTTTTAATGAAAAGATTTACTTAATGTTGACTTATCTCTGAAAACAATACAATAATTTGCTTTGTTTTTTCTTTTTGCAGTGCAGAGGATAAACTGCTTATGATCAGAGGAAAAAAACAGCTAAAATTAGAGGAAGGATAGCTCTAAATGAGATGAAAACTGCCTGAAATCAGAAGAAAAACTGCTCAAAATCTTAAGAGAAACTGCTGTAAGCCAGAGTAAAGAAGTGCTTAAAAGTAAAAGGAAGCTCTGCCCTTAATTAGATGGAAAATCAGAGGGAAAACATGAGGAAAATAAAGGAGGTGGCGGAGTTAGGGAGGGTTAGACATGTACTGTATATCTGTGATCATAGGAGTGTATATCATATATTCATATATACAGGACTTTCCATGTGGTGCACGTGCATATAAAAGAGAAAGCCATTTCTGCTTTTATTAATAAACAAATTGGTGGACAATAGGGTTTATGCCGAAGCATGCTAACAGGACTTTTAATTTGCCAGTAACCTGGGTTAATCATTTCCGGTGAACTGTGTGCCAAAGCAAAAATCGGCGTGTTTAAGGTCTGTTTTCTTTACAAATCAGCGATCTCCACTAGCTGAGTGATATCTGATTTAAAGTGGGTCTCAGGTTGTACAAGAAGCACTGCATTACATTACATTTCCCCCCGCCATGCCTTTATAATATGAGCATTTACTTTACCCCAGTATATTCAATGGAGCTTCTGCGCTAGCCTGCCGATTCTGACGGGCGCGTGCGAGTACACAGCTTTTTGTCTCGTTTTAGGCTTGAGCAACTAAATGAATGCCAGGGTCTGTTTAACTGATTGTATTTTAATTACATTACAACATTGATGCTGTAAAATGAACCGTATAAAATGGACAAAAATTCACAATAATAGGTCACCGGAAGTTTATCAGTAAGGGAACAACACTAGCTCGCCATATACCCTATATAGACAGATAAGAAGAGCTCAGATGCAAAAACCTCCACCGTAAATACTTTGCCACGACACTGAAATAGCTGAAAATACACACAGGAGGCTGAGGAAAATACTCATTATAGATGGTTTGAGAGGTTTTTGTATATGCAACTCTCCATAAAGGTGTTTGTAAAATATTTGAATCAATAATTTATAGTGTAACAGCTCCGTGGATTTCATGTACTGTTATAAGCAAGTGGACTTGAGCTAGAACCCCATCATAACCACACAAACACAACACTGTGAACACTGCAAACGCACTCCTGATGGCTGTGTCTGTGTGTGTGACTGGAGACTTGTTCGAGACTCATACTAAGAGCTCAGCCAGGAGAAAGAGCAGGATGAAGAAAACAAACACACACAAAGGAAATCCTGATTATGAAGATGAGAGTTCACAGATGCACTGAAGTGAACATGAGCAGACCTGAGAGGAGTCTACAGAAGCGGAAACCATGCAGTTTCTCAGTTATAACGCCATTACTGTCACTACGCTTTGTGTGTATTTGTATTGCTTATATGTATGTGTGTGTATAAAAATATGCATGTGTGTGGATCGTGTATATTCAGTTGAGGGCAAAATTATTGTGCATGTGTGTGTACTGTATGCATGTATATATACGTGTGAAAGTGTGTGCATTAGTGTGTATGCATGTGCATGTGTTCATTTGTATGCATGTGCATTAGTGTGTATGCATGTGTTCATTTGTATGCATGTGCATTAGTGTGTATGCATGTGTTCATTTGTATGCATGTGCATTAGTGTGTATGCATGTGTTCATTTGTATGCATGTGCATTAGTGTGTATGCATGTGTTCATTTGTATGCATGTGCATGAGTGTGTATGCATGTGTGTATGCATTTGTATGTGTGTATTTATATGAGAGTGTGTATGCATGAGTGCGTTTTTCTGCATTTACATGAGTGTGTGTGTATGCATGAGTGTTCATGAGTGTGCATGTGTGTGTGTGTAGTCACCTTTCCTCCTCCAGGCTGGTGTTTGATGTTGTCTGTGGAGCCGATCTTGGAGCGGATGTTCTTGACGTCTGGAGCGGCTGTGGAGCTGGGCCGGGCAGTGCTAGCGGTGCTGCTGCTTGTAATGCGGGTGGTGCTGGTTGTGGTGGTGGTGCGGGCGGTGCTTCTGGTTGTGTTGGTGGTGCTGGTGCTGAAGATGGATTGTCGAGGGGGGCGGGGCATTGTTTGGATCCTCGGAACCTCAGGAGTGGTGCCGGTGCCGCCTGCTAAGGGGGTTTTGGTGGGTCGAGGGCGGGTGGAGGCGCTGCTGCTGATAGTGCCGGAGGTGGAGGGTCTGGCGGTTGCAGGTTTAGAGCGGGCGCCATCTGTAACTGCAGATTAACACATAATATTAAACCAATGGAGGTGCTGGTCTAGTATCACATATGGCACATTTCCACTGATGGTTCGGTGCGCTTATATGGCCGTTTCCACTGTCAAAAAGTACCTAAAAGCGAATCGTACCGTACCACTTTTCGGTTACCCTTTGCAAAGGGTGCCTAGCAGGAATAAAGTGTACCAAAAGGCGGAGCTAGAGACGCAGCTGAACACTATTGGTTTACAGAGAAGCGTCACTCACTCATGGAGCAAGGCAGAATGAAAACAAAGGAAGCGCCATGTTTTAAATACACAGCCAAGATATTAGATCGTTGATAAATTTGATTGTTTTCATTCTAAAATGCCATTAAAACTAAGACGTATTACAGTAAACGGAGCCTGAGTGTGTGTTTTTCGTGAGCGGGTTGCTGCTGCAATGTACAGTGGTCAAAGTTTGAAACATTTTTACAAAGCTCGGGACAAATGTACATTTTGAAAAACATTTTTACCTGTCATGTGACACAATTACATGGGAAAAACATGTTTACCAAGGACGAAACGAATTACTATTTTAGAAAACAAATTAACAAGACGCAACACACTTGTTTTGACAAAAGTCCCGATACACATTTACAATTACAGATTCCTTACGGAAAGGGAATGTACCACACACCAGGAGTGACGCGGAATGTACCACACACCGGGAGTGATGCGGAATGTACCACACACCAGGAGTGACGCGGAATGTACCACACACCGGGAGTGACGCGGAATGTACCACACACCAGGAGTGACGCGGAATGTACCACACACCGGGAGTGACGCGGAATGTACCACACACCAGGAGTGACGCGGAATGTACCACACACCAGGAGTGACGCGGAATGTACCACACACCAGGAGTGACGCGGAATGTACCACACACCGGGAGTGACGCGGAATGTACCACACACCGGGAGTGACGCGGAATGTACCACACACCAGGAGTGACGCGGAATGTACCACACACCAGGAGTGACGCGGAATGTACCACACACCGGGAGTGACGCGGAATGTACCACACACCAGGAGTGACGCGGAATGTACCACACACCGGGAGTGACGCGGAATGTACCACACACCGGGAGTGACGCGGAATGTACCACACACAGGGAGTGATGCGGAATGTACCACACACCGGGAGTGACGCGGAATGTACCACACACCGGGAGTGACGCGGAATGTACCACACACCGGGAGTGACGCGGAATGTACCACACACCGGGAGTGACGCGGAATGTACCACACACCGGGAGTGACGCGGAATGTACCACACACCGGGAGTGACGCGGAATGTACCACACACCGGGAGTGACGCGGAATGTACCACACACCGGGAGTGACACGGAATGTACCACACACCGGGAGTGACACGGAGCGGAATGTACCACACACCGGGAGTGACGCGGAATGTACCACACACCAGGAGTGACGCGGAATGTACCACACACCGGGAGTGACGCGGAATGTACCACACACCGGGAGTGACGCGGAATGTACCACACACCGGGAGTGACGCGGAATGTACCACACACCGGGAGTGACGCGGAATGTACCACACACCGGGAGTGATGCGGAATGTACCACACACCGGGAGTGATGCGGAATGTACCACACACAGGGAGTGATGCGGAATGTACCACGCACAGGGAGTGATGCGGAATGTACCACGCACCGGGAGTGACGCGGAATGTACCACACACCGGGAGTGACGCGGAATGTACCACACACCGGGAGTGACGCGGAATGTACCACACACCGGGAGTGATGCGGAATGTACCACACACCGGGAGTGATGCGGAATGTACCACACACCGGGAGTGACGCGGAATGTACCACACACCGGGAGTGACGCGGAATGTACCACACACCGGGAGTGACGCGGAATGTACCACACACCGGGAGTGACGCGGAATGTACCACACACCGGGAGTGACGCGGAATGTACCACACACCGGGAGTGACGCGGAATGTACCACACACCAGGAGTGACGCGGAATGTACCACACACCGGGAGTGACGCGGAATGTACCACACACCGGGAGTGACGCGGAATGTACCACACACCGGGAGTGACGCGGAATGTACCACACACCGGGAGTGACGCGGAATGTACCACACCCCGGGAGTGACGCGGAATGTACCACACACTGGGAGTGACACGGAATGTACCACACACTGGTAGTGACGCAGGGGAAAGTTGTTATTGTTGTTGGTGAGCGCAGTAAATGGGGTATATGCCGAAGCATGCTAACAGGACTTTTAATTTGCCAGTAACCTGGGTTAATCGCTTCCTGTGAACTGTTTGCCATTGCAAAATCGGCATGTTTAAGGTCTGTTTTCTTTAAAAATCAGCGATCTCCACTGGCTGAGTGATATCTGATATAAAGTGGGTCTCAGATTGTCCAAGAAGCACTGCATTACATTACATTTCCCCCGCCATGTCTTTATAATATGAGCATTTACTTTACCCCAGTATATTCAATGGAGCTTATGCGCTAGCCTGCCGATTCAGACGGGCGTGTGCGAGTACACGGCTTTTTGTCTCGTTTTGTGCTTGAGCAACTAAATAAATGCCAGAGTCTGTTTAACTGATTGTATTTTAACTACATTACAACATCGATGCTGTAAAAGGTATCATTTAAAATGGGAAAAAACTAACAATAACAGGTCACCGGAAGTTTATCAGCTCGGAAACAGCACTAGCTCCGCATATACCCTATTCGTGCTGTGGAGAACATGGCGTAAACAAAGTTTATGGTGACCGGACATGGTCAGCGGTCGAGGGTTGTTTTGCTGGTTTTGTGGCAAACACATGAGCAGCTTAACACTGTTTTGCTTTACGTGTGGTCGGTGTTTAGAGTTTATAAAGGACGCAGAGCAGACGGAAACAGACATACTGCATTAATGTTCAATATTTTAACGAGACCCACTCGTACTCTATAATCGTGGACATGATGTCAAGTCTACACGGTGTAAACATCTGCTAGAGGACTCTTAACAGTAAACTGAATGAAGCCGGTGTTATGGTTTAACTGGTGTCCGTGTTAACTGGGGACCCTTTTCAGATGTAAACTATTCACGTTTGCAGATTACCTGGTGTCAGTGTACACATTATTGATTTTAATATCTGTGTAGCAGAACAGTATAAACCAAAATTAATGTAAAGAAATAATTGTAATTAACATGTCATCAACGGGATTCGAACCCAAGTCAAAAGGTTCTGCGCGAGCATCAATCGACTTATCTATCTGAGCTACTCAGGTCTACAGGTTTGGGTCGGTTTGGATATCTTTGTCAGTCAACATGTGCCGTGCTTTGATTGTTTCCATGTAATTGCGTTTATGTAACGGAGGCCAGCTAGTGTGTGCTGTGCAGGTAAACCTCACTCCTCTGACCTCTAAAGGTGCTCTAGCAACACGCACTAGAGGTCATGGTCTTTAGCCTCCTTGGTAGAGCAACCGGCTCCATTGCGGAAGGTCGCCAGCTCGATACCAGCTCGGAGCGGGTTGAGTGGCGTAGGACCGGCGGGGTTACAATTACATGTTTCTACGCACTCTCACACTGATATTTTCTCAGAGTAGCTCTAATATGTTGTATCGCAGTTAGTCAAACCAGGATTTTTATAGGTGTAGACTCGTGGAAACCTGCATCTACAAAGTCACACACAAGCTGATGTTTTCCTATCTGTGTGGTACTGGGTCACTCCCGGTGCGGTGTGTGGAACAATCCATGTCACTCCCGCTGTGTGGTACTTTCCGCGTCACTCCCGGTGTGTAGTAAATTCCCTTTCTGTAAGGAATCTGTAATTGTAAATGTGTTTCAGGACATGTAAAAGTGTTTTGCATCTTGTTAATTTGTTTTCTATAATGTAAATTAGTTTAGTCCTTGGTAAAACTGTTTTTCCTATGTAATTGTGTCATGACAGGTAAAAATGTTTATTGTTTTGCCTTTCCCGGCCACCGTAGCAATGGGAGCAGGGCGGAGGATCGCGATGCCGGCTCAGCATTGTGATGTCCATTGGCCATCGACGATGGATGATAGCATCGCCTATTGACCCAACCCTAATGTGAATTGCTTTTTTATAATAAATACGATTGTCTATTTAACTGTAGTTGTCTCGTTGTGTGTATTAATTTATAACAACATGCATCAATAAATAAACTACCAAATTTAGCTCTATACAGTTAAAATAACAGGTTTCAGAGAAACATTCTGATAACTTAAGAAATGCAGTTTTATATCTGCTCGACATTCAGAAACTCCGGAGAAGGCTTTATAAACGCTGTGCGTCTGAGTGCTCCATACAGCGATATGTCAGTGTTCAGTTTATAGCATAAAACCCTCTTCATTCGTCAGATTAAAATAATCCAAATCTCTGGAAACGGCCAGCGGTGCTCATGTGCCGGATTATCCTCAACTCATTCCTGCTGCGCAACTCTCCTCTGCATTTAAAGCAGATCTTTGGTGGACTTAAATGTGTTCGTCAGCACGGCATCTCTGCACCTGCTCATACTCACAGTAATGATTCACTATGATCTGGTGTTTCCAGTCTTCAAGTCACACGATCAGAAATGAATCATCAGGAAACATTCATACAAGCATAGCTCAGTTATGCTTGTTTTTATCATCAATGATAAAGAATGTGCTTCATATTTAATTAGAAAAATATATAGTTTACAAATACTTCAAAGAACAGCATTTTGTTTGCAATTCATTATTTAGTTGCATCATTGTTATATTCGGGGCTTGACATCAACTTTTTTGATCACCAGCCACTGTGGCTAGTAGATTTCCCGCACAACTAGCCACTCGCCTTTTTCAATAGCCACACTTTTATTGCTGGAAAATCTATTTTCTACACATAAATATGACTTTGACATGCTAAAATGACTTGATTTAGATGTTGCGTTATCTCCACAGGCCTCCTCATTCATCACTCTTTGTGTGTCGTGTATGAGCTGCTCAGTAATCATGAGCAAATGGGTGATGGTCTCATAGTATTACAATTAGTTTTTATTTTACATCATTTGTAGAGCTCAAACTGAAGGATCTATCTCTGACCACATCAAACATAATTAATTTTTATCATCCAAAAATATTAAATGTGTCAAAACAAGCAAAATATAGCTGTATACTATACGTTTTATTTATCAAAACATATGCACAGTAATCTGTCCTGGCTAAGGGTCCCAGATCACCAGTTAACTACACATAAATGGGGAGTTGTGAAAATGTACTGGTTTATACTTCTGCGTCAAGTGACCGGCGTGACCCACGGCGCATGCAACCCGCGTAGCCATGCTTTTATACTTCTGCGCGCTGTCTCTGTTGGTCTGCATTAACACTTCCGAAATGCTAGTGGGCACTGAGGTGTTAATGTTCCTCTGTGTCGAGTTTCTTCGCTGCTGTTTTGCTTTTCCTGAACACTTCCTGAATGTACAAGTGGCTCAAACTCGCTCATTTTGAGGCAGGAACCGGCGGACGTGCAACAACTTTAACTATGAGGTAAACACAGAACAAAACTTTACATCCGGAGCTCCTTCACGGGACTCCACACTTGTAAACAATTGCTCCATCGGGCTCTCGGTCCCGCCCAGACTCATCAGCGCAATCAAGCCGACCAATCACAGAGCTTGTGCTACGCGTCGTTGCGACGTGTAAATTTTTTGAGAGGTGCATATTAGCAATGCCAACGGCCACGGCGTAGAGCTATGCATCAACGCATGAATAATCTGTTCAAAGAATGGTTAAAGCGAAAGCAACCGGTGCTGCTTACAAAATGACAAATCTGGAGCTCTTGAAGGCAGCAGAACTGTGGATGCATGTTCTGTTGTCTAGTCTATTTGTAAGAGAACCGATCACATCAGTTGTGTTTTTAGGCACAGTTGCTTCATGCAAGGAAATGGGAGCGCGCACGCGTTTTAAACAGTCACGCGCATCACCTCAGCTTTAAGTGCGAGTGATCATCCTCTCATTCAATATTCACCTGCTTTCTATTACTCGCGCGAACGCAATTATTTTTGTCAGTCATGTTTCTTCTCAATTCTAAGATCACCTTTGCATGCATATTGGACCATTCTTATTGTCGAGCCCTGCTTTTAAGAGTTATTATCCGGGTAAATTATTTTCAACCAGACAAAGTGGCTAGTGGGAGTGTCTGTCTTATCTTACCGCATTTGGCAGGTGTTAATGTCAAGCCCTGGTTATATATATATATATTTTGTATTATTTTGTAATTATTTTACTTTCGTTTTCCCCCTCAAGCTTGATCATACATTCTGGTTTCTACAAAAAAAAAAAACATTTTAATACTGATAATAATAACAGAACTGACAATCAATCAATCATTCTATATATATATATATATATATATTTTTTTTTTTTTTTTTTTTTTTGCATAAAATCATCATATTAGAATGGTCTCTGAAAGATTGTCACATCAGAGACAGGAGACGTTCATTTCATTTTAAAGTGCAATACAGTTCTCACAATATTTGCTATATATTAATCAAATAAATGTGATCTGTGCACTATAGACTTCCTCAGTAATACAGATGTATAAATCTTGAGTTAGCTGTACCTGTAGTTTTCAGTGTGCTGGCTTTCTTGTCGTCTGCTGGTTTGCTCTCAGCCTTCGCAGCTAAACACAAGACAGAAATGCAGAATGTGTGAATATTCCTCATTTGTGACTCTGGTTGCACAGGTATATTAATAAAAACAACATTACATGAGTCAGAGTTATTGATTTTTATGTTGTGGACAAACAAAAAAAAGCCTTAGAATATTAAAGAGCCCATATTATGGGTTTTTGAAAATTCCCCTCCATGTAGTGTGTAACACAGCTCTAAGTGAAGTGAAGTATCCAGCTAAGGCTTAAATCTGTTAGTGTACAGTGTTTAAAACGGTTGATTCATCTATAAAAGAGTCGACTCATAGTGCTTCAAACGAGTCGCCTTGATACCGATTCATAAGGTGTTTCGCCATGACGTACGAACGAAACCAAGTTATTCACGTGCACGCGCAAACCCGGGAGATTTCAAACCTGAGGCCCCGCCCTCTGACGCAGAAACCCAGACACACACACACACACACCCACAAACACACGCACACAAACATGCCGGTCGATTGAAGTCACACTGCAGATGGACATTATCGATTCTCTACCCAGAGATGAAACCTCAGCATTATAACCAAGCAGTTGGAAACTTCTGGAAACTACATGCTACAAAGAATACTTCATCAGCGTTTGTTAAAGGAAGGATCAGTAAAGAGTAACTTACTAATGGTCGTCAGGATGAGTTTCTTCCTCCATTTCTCAAGTGTAAGTACGTGCGATTAAAGTTGCCTCATTGACTCTAGCTTGCAATTGTATTTAGTTGTGATTTGTTACTTGTAACCGCGTGTACTGTATCAGGTTAACTGGCTATATTCTCTTATCGCGTGCAAAGTCACGTTAAAAACGCGACGCGTGCTGTTTGTTTACGGAGCTCCGTGGTAGAGGTCTGCATTCCCGCGGCTGTCCCCGCGCCAGATTTCTGCGGCGTGGGAATAAATTTCCGAATCAATCGCGGGAGCGGTCGGTAACAGGTTTAATTTGGGACGGGAGCGGGCTTTCTAGCAATATCGTGGATATTGCTATGCGAATGAGACAGAGCTTTGCCTGCCTGTGTGTCTGCTTGGCGCTTGTGTGTATGTGTTAGTGCGCGTGTATGAGAGAGAGAGAGCTCTGTCTGGCTGTCTCTGGACTGTTTTGCTGGGTGATTTTCAGTTATGTTCTCCCCCGCTCTTTAGCGGCATCGGGCGCGGCGGGCAGAAAACGGGGCGGTTCGGGCACCGGGACAAGAAATTCTAAATATAAGCGGGAGCGGTCGGGTTCAGGCTAAAACCTGGCGGGTGCGGGCGGAAGCGGGAGCGTTGTCGTCCAGAGGTGTGTGTGTGTGTTTGTGTGTGTGTGTGGCAGCTAAAATCCATGCCTACACTATGGAGCGTGTATGAACTGTGATTACTTTTATATTGCTGATTAGCTATTGGGCATTTCATTCTCTGACTGAAGGCAGTCGACCAATCGCAAAAGACTGTCATTGGTCCAATCAGCGCAGATTAGCTTCGCGCTAAGGAGGGGTTTGGGAACAAATGAATCACTGGACGATTCATACAGGAGTCGCTGGGATAATTAGGTAAAAATAAATGCAGATTATAAGACGATGAAAGTGTTTTTTGACTTTGCATGCATATTAGTCTGTTGTTGGAGACCCTTACAACCAAGATATGACCCTATTTCATGTATAATATGGGCTCTTTAAGATCAATTGCCATGAAGATATTTTGTACATTTCCCTAAACTCTGATCAGTAATAAGCATTGAATTTATTCTTGGTGTGTGGAGCGGGTGTGGAGCCGTGCTGGCGGTGCTGCTGCTGGTATTGTGGGTGATGTTAATCCTCATTTACGATCTCTGAATTTATTTTGTTTAAATTCAGAGGTGATTTTCAGATTTTTTTTTAGCCCTCAAATTCCTAATAGTTTTACCAATTTTCATCCAAGAATTGGGCCTTACGACTGGGCCTTTCACCATACCTGCCAACACTCCCCTTTTTCCCGGGAGTCTCCTGTATTCCAGACCAATCTCCCGCAACCCTCCCGTTTAGTTATTTCTCCCGGAAAACTCCCGTAATTTAACCCTGGCATGGTGGCTCAGTGGTTAGCACTGTGGTCTCACAGCAAGAAAGTCGATGGTTCAAGTCCCAGCTGGGTCAGTTGGCATTTCTGGAGTTTGCATGTTCTCCCCATGTTGGGTTTCCTCCGTGTGCTCCGGTTTCCCCCACAGTCCAAACACATGCGCTATAGGGGAATTGATGAACTAAATTGGCTGTAGTGTATGAGTATGCGAATGTGAGAGTGTATGGGTGTTTCCCGGTACTGGGTTGCAGATGGAAGGGCATTTAATGTGTAAAACATATGCTGGAAAAGTTGTCGGTTCATTCCGCTGTGGCGACCCCTGATGAATAAAGGGACTAAGCCGAAAAAAAAAGTGAAAGAATGGACATTACAAAATAATAAATGTAAAGGTGTCTGACCAAGGGGGCGTCGGGCCGCGGGAGCGCTGGCTGTGGGTCGTGTTGTGGACGCAGGTTTGTCTGCAGCGGGTCGAGAGGGAGCAGTGCTGGGCTTGGGCACCAGTGGACGCTTCTCTGTGAGCGACTGTCAAACACAAGAGAAAAAAGAAAAATTCATATTAATAACAAGCAGAGGATACATCCGCTCCAAAGATGATCCTCCAGTTTACAACCTAAATGGAAACACACCATCCCACAGGCATTGGATATTATGATGGCAAGACTTACACTTACAGTATAGGAGAGCTATTATGCTCACTTTTATAAGGGGTTTAAGGGGGTCTGGTGCAATGCTGGCCCTTTAAATCTTAAAGCGGAAGTCGATGACGTACCGGGTCCGCGGAGTTTAACTGGTTAAACACAGTTGTGTGTCAGCAATATGTGAGTCTCTCCAGTCTCTAATGATAAACATGTATTAACTGTATTTATTATAATCAGACTTGATAAAAACAGCCTGCAGAAACACTGTGATTGACATACTCCCTTTGTACGCGTCTTCAGAGGGGGAAAGCCCCGCCCACTAGGTGCCCATCTCGCCCTCATTAGCATAAACAGCAGCCCTGAGTAGGAAGCAGCTGTTTTGAATCTGCCACTATGCTGACACATAGATATATGTAGCTCCGCCCTTTTTAAAAAAGGCCGCAATCTCATTTAAATTTAAAGCGACAGTCACCAAAACACCACAATTAGGATCAAAGCCTAAAGAGTCCGTTTCAGAGAGCTAGGAAAATTATCTGTGTGCTATTTTGAGTTCAAACTGAAACACACAGACACTCTAGAGCAGGGGATGGGCAAACTTGATCCTCGAGGGCCGGTGTCCCTGCAGAGTTTTATTCCAACACTAGTCAAACACACCTGATCAAGCTAATCAGTGTGTTTAAGATCACTAGAAACCTATAAGCAGGTGTGTTTGATTAGAGTTGGAGCTAAACTGTGCAGGACTACGGCCCTCCAGGACCGAGTTTGCCCATCACTGCTCTTGAGACATCAGAGATGCATTTTACGTCTTGTAAAAAGTGCTATTATTGGTCATCTCTAAATTTATTCAGAGTAATGCACAAAAAGTTCTGCAGGTTAACCTTTCCTATCATGCACTGAAATTATAACTGCTAACATGCATAAAATCAAATGACAACTTATAGCAATAATTTTAGTGACAATATATCGCACAACTATTTTTTTTGTTTTTTTTTGCACAACAGATTTGGAACAAGTGGAGGATGAGTAATGATGGCATTTTTTGTGGGTGCACTATCACCTTACCAAAATTATTTTTTAATTTTTCAGAATACACATTTCCTATCATATGTCTCAACATTTTAATATTTAAAACTTTTGTAACCAACAGTGATTAAAATCAAGGAGTTTTGTTTTTTTATTCTTCTAATATTCATTAAACATATTGTATTGGAGGAAGGAGGTGGTGCAGTTAAGTTGATTGGCCACTAGAGGGAGGTCTTGAACTGAGCATTCACATGTAAAGACATTAAATCATTTAAGAGCCTGATTCCAAAACATCATCTACAGATATAGATAGGCTTATTTAGGTTTTAAACCAATGAATTTTCTGACTTCTACATAGATACTACAGTTAAATATAATCAGTATATATAATAGTTATACAGTTGAAGTCAGAATTATTAGCCTACCTTTGAATTTATTTTTCTTTTTTCAATATTTCATAAATGATGTTTAACAGAGCAAGGATATATTCACAGTATGTCTGATAATATTTTTACTTCTGGAGAAAGTCTTATTTGTTTTATTTCGGCTAGAATAAAAGCAGTTTTGAATTTTTTAAACACCATTTTAAGGTCAATATTATTAGCACTTTTAAGCTATTTATTTTGTGATAGTCTAAAAAACAAACCATCGTTATACAATAACTTGCCTAATTACCCTAACCTGCCTAATTACCCTAATTACCCTAGTGAAGCCTTTAAATATCACTTTAAGCTGTATAGAAGTGTCTTGAAGAATATCTAGTCTAATATTATTTACTGTCATCATGACAAAGAGAAAATAAATCAGTTATTAGAAATAAGTTATTAAAACTATTATGTTTAGAAATGTGTTGAAAAAAATCTGCTCTCCGTTAAACAGATTTTGGGGGTAAAATAAATGGGGGATAATAATTCTGACTTCAACTGTATATAGCTATATATAATCAGCCAATCACATGGCAGCAACTCAATGCATTTAGGCATGTAGACATGATCAGGGCGATCTACTGCAGTTCAAAGCGAGCATCAGAATGGAGAAGAAAGGGGATTTAAGAGACTTTGAACGTGGCATGATTGTTAATGCCAGACGGGCTGCTCTGAGTATTTCAGAAACTGCTGATCTACTGGGATTTTCACGCACAACCATCTCTAGGGTTTACAGAGAATGCTCTAACAAAGAGGAAATATCCAGTGAGCGGCAGTTCTGTGGGCGCAAATGCCTTGTTGATGAGGCCAGAGGTCAGAGGAGAATGGCCAGACTGGTTCCAGCTGATAGAAAGGCAACAGTAACTCAAATAAGCACTCGATACAACCGAGCTCTGCAGAAGAGCATCTCTGAACACACAACACGTCCAACCTTGAGGCGGATGGGCTACAGCAGCAGAAGAGCACACCGGGTGCCGCTCCTGTCAGCTAAGAACAGGAAACTGAGGCTACAATTCACACAGACTCACCAAAACTGGACAATAGAAGATTGGAGAAACGTTGCCTCCTCTGATGAGTCTCAACAGGCCTCAACAACTTGAAAGCATGGATCCATCCTGCCTTGTATCAGCGGTTCAGGCTGGTGGTGGTGGTGTAATGGTGTGGGGGAGATTTTCTTGGCACACTTTGGGTTCATTAGTACCAATTGAGCCTCATGTCAACGCCACAGCCTACCTGAGTATTGCTGCTGACCATGTCCATCCCTTTATGAGCACAGTGTCTCCATCTTCTGATGGCTACTTCCAGCAGGATAACGCAGCATGTCATAAAGCTCAATCATCTCAGACTGGTTTCTTGAACATGACGATGAGTTCACTGTACTCAAATGGCCTCCACAGTCACCAGCTCTCAATCCAATAGTGCAGCTTTGGGATGTGGTGGAACGGGAGATTGGCATCATGGATGTGCAGCCGACAAATCTGCAGCAACTGTGTGATGCTATCATGTCAATATGGAGCAAAATCTCTGAGGAATATTTCCAGCAGCTTGTTGAATCTCTGCCATGAAGGATTAGTGCAGTTCTAAAGGCAAAAGGGGGTCCAACCCAGTACTTGTAACATGTACCTAATAAAGTGGCCGGTGAGAGTATATATATATATATATATATATATAATCAGGTTTGCATTACAGCAATCAATCAATCAATCAATCATTACAGCAATACAGTTCATATATAAAATAACCAGTCAAAGAGAAAGGGGAGTAATAACATTTCACAATATGACCATTTTTCTGTGTTTTTGAATAAATAAACACAGCCTTGTTGAACATAACACAGTTTTCTCAGAAAAATGATCTCACACTTTTGCAGCACTGAACAGAAGGTTGGATGTGAAGTTGATGTGAATAAGCAGAGCAAACCAGCAGCACTTGAACACACACATAATTTTACTCTCCATAAGTCTGGCTGCATTCAGGTTAAGTCCCCATCATAACATAAAAACAAGTACACACACACACACACACACACACACGCACGCACGCACGCACGCACGCACGCACGCACGCACGCACGCACGCACACACAAACAGAGCTTCACCTTGGGCTTGACGTCTCTGGCCGCTGTGGTGGCGGTGGGGGGTCGTGCTGTGGCCGTGGCGGGCCGTTTGGTGCCCGCGGGTGCAGCGGATGTTTTGGGTGCAGGGGCTTTTTTACTGATGGGGGCGGAGCCGCTGGAGGCTGAGGTAGCGGTTGGACGCTTGGGGGCAGCTGTAGAGGTGGAGGCGGAGCTGGGGCGGGGCTTGGCAGAGCTGGGTTTGCTTAATCCAGCAACAGGCTGCATGGATGGACGGCAAACCCAACGCATGGATGGAAAACGAGGAACAAAAAACAAAATAAAGACAAGTGATGAGAGCAGTGACATGAGCAGCGCAGGCCATTAAAAGCATCATGACATATTAAAGAGACAGTTCACACACAAAAACTATTTACTCATCCCTTATTACTTTCAAACCTGTTCTTTCTCGTCTGATGAACACAATAAAAGTTATTTTGTAGAATGTTGGAAACCTGTAACCATTGACTTCCATTGTAATTGTTTTTCTATGGTAAGCAATGAGAGCGAAGCAGTGGCGCAGTAGGTAGTGTTGTCGCCTCACAGCAAGAAGGTCGCTGGGTCAAGCCTCGGCTCAGTTGGTGTTTCTGTGTGGAGTTTGCATGTTCTCCCTGCATTTGCGTGGGTTTCCTCTGGGTGCTCCTGTTTCCCCCACAGTCCAAACACATGCGGTACAGGTGAATTGGGTAGGCTAAATTGTCCGTAGTGTATGAGTGTGTATGTGTGTGTGTGTGGGGATGTTTCCCAGAGATGGGTTGCGGCTGGAAGGGCATCAGCTGCGTAAAAACTTGCTGGATAAGTTGGCGGTTCATTGGACTAAGCCGACAAGAAAGTTAATAAATGAATGAATGAATGAATGGAAGTCAATGGTTACAGGTTTCTTCAAAATCTCTTCTTTTGTGTTCAACTGATAAAAGAAACTCAAAGTTTAGGAAACAGCAGAGAGTGAGTCAACAGTGTGTAAATGTTTATTTTTGCGTGAACTGTCCCTTTAATAGTAAACATAAAGTTGCCTAAGAGTATGAGGACTTTTCTGCTTTCAGTTCAGTCTGCTTCATCAAAAAAAAAAAAAAATGCTGAGATTTTAAGAGTCTTTAAAGGACCAAAATAAAAATGATAAAACTGAAATTATTAAAACATTTTAAATGCATTAAAATGAAATAAATAATAAAAATATTATAAAATGCAATATTGTTTGACTAAATAGTCACAATTAATACGTTTAAACTTAAAATGTTTTGCACTGGACATAAATAAACAACTAAAACTGAACCAAAATTATAATAACTGAAACCTAAATATAAACAATAATGAAATGTTTAACAAAAAGTTATTTTAAAAAGTAAATAAAAATACAAAACAACTGATAAAACTCGATATTCATTGAAAAATAAAAATACAATGCAGAAATTGAATAAATATTTCACTGACGTGATGCATATTATATATATATATAATTTTCATATTCTGCATTATCAGTTTTATTATTAATAATTAATTGTAGTTTTATTTAAATTTTAGTTGTTTTTTGTACTTTTTATTTATATTTACTAATTTAAAAAAATAACAGCTGCTAAATAATAGCAAAATAACACATTTATTAATGGTTCTTGCTATTCAAGATTAACATGCTTTAGAAACTGAATAAAACTCGTCAGGAGAAGCATCGTCTGTTTGATTATTAACTGTATTTTATTTATATTTTATTAATAATTAACTGCATTTTATTCATACTTTTCATTCATATTTACTTTATATATAAACATGGTTAATAACATGTGGTTCTTGTTAAACTCCCCTACCCGACTCTTTATTTTTGTTTGTGCTTCAGGGATTCATTTGCTTTAGAAACTGAATAAAACTCATAAGCAGAAGCTTCTGTTCTGCATCGTCCATTTTATTATTAATAATTAACAGGATTGTATATATACCTTTCATTCATATCTACTTTATATATAAATCTAACACAAAAAAACTGATAACAGCTAATAAATGACACCAAAATAACATGTATTTATCCTGCTAACCTGATTAATGATCTGGGTAATTACATTTCCTCTGTGCTTCAGGGAATGATATGCTTTAGAAACAGAATAAGCAGAAGCCGGAGGGTGGATGGAGGACAAAAAGACATGGCAGAAAGTTTGGACAAACCTTGGTCTTCTTCTCAGGACTGCTCAAGTCTTTTCCAGGAGCACCGTTGGTTAGCGCAGGTTTGGCCGCTGAGGGTTTAGCAGCTGCTTTTTTGGCTTTGTCATCCTTCGTCTCAGCTTTGGCAGGTTTCTTATCAGCCGGTTCGCTCTTTTCTGCTTTCTCTTCTACTTTCTCCTCCTCTGTTTTGTCTTGTTGGGTCTTCTGTTCAGCTTTCTCCTTCACATCATCTTTCTGCTCTGATTTGTTCTCGACTTTCACTTCTTCTTTCTTCAGCTCTTGTTTCTCCACCGGCTCCTCTTTCTTTGGGGAGAACTCTGTTGTCTTTTCTATTAAATCAGTGCTTTTCTCCACCATTGCAGCTTTTTCCGTCTCATCTTTAGTGCTTCTTTCCACTTTTTCAATCTTCTCCACTTTCACTGGCGTTTCAACATGGTGAACGGTTTCATCCGTTTTCTTCTCCACCTCTTTGTTTTTGTCCAGAGGTTCTGTGTTTTCTGCTTTGGTTGTCTGTTTGGGCTCAGATTTGTCTTTCTCTGTTATTGTCTCCATCTTCTGATCTTTCTCTGTCTTGCTGAAGATGTCAAATTCATCAAACTTCTGGACAGGGTCCATTTTATTCACCTCCGGCTTGTTCTTCTCAGAGTTTTCTGGTAGAAAATAAACAATTAAAAAGGGTCAAGATCAGATTAAGAAACTGTGTGAATCTAAAAGCCGAACTAAAGATAAATAATATTCATGAATTAATAAACAGGAGGAAGAACACATGCTTAAAAGTTTAAATATCTTAAACAACAACAGCAAATTTAAAATCAATATCAGCTTTAAAAGTATTTTATTTTATTTTATTAAAAGCCAAAAAAAGATTAAGGACACTAATAAAATAATAAAGAGAAGACTTCAGAAGATGACATGCTTAAAAGTTTAAATATATTAAACAACAAAATAGTATGTGTATTTTATTAATAATTAAAATTATTTTATTTTTATTTTATTAATATTTAACTATTTTATTTTTATTTATAAATAATTACAATATTTTATTTTTAAATATTATTGATAATTAACAGTATTTTATTTTTATTTTATTAATAATTAACAGTATTTTATTTTTATTTTATTAATAATTAACTTCATTTTATTTTTATTTATTAATAATTACAATATTTTATTTTTATTTTATTGATAATTAACAGTATTGTATTTTTATTTTATTAATAATTAACAGTATTTTATTTTAATTTTAATAACTGCATTATATTTTATTAATAATTAACAGTATTTAAATTTTTTTTATTAATAATTAACAGCATTTTATTTTTATTTTATTAATAATTAAGAATTTTTTATTTTTATTTTAACTACTGCATTATATTTTATTAATAATTAACAGTATTTTATTTTTTTTATTAATAATTAACAGTATTTTATTTTTATTTTAATTACTCCATTATATTTCATTAATGATTAACTGTATTTCATTTTAATAACAATTAACAGTATTTTATTTTATTAATAACTAACAGTATTTTATTTTTAGTTTATTAATAATTAACAGTATTTTATTTTTATTTTAATTACTCCATTATATTTCATTAATGATTAACTGTATTTTATTTTATAATAATTAACAGTATTTTATTTTTATTTTATTAATAACTAACAGTATTTTATTTTATTAATAATTAACAGTATTTTATTTTTATTTTAATTACTGCATTATATTTTATTAATAATTAACAGTATTTAATTTTTATTTTATTAATAATTAACAGCATTTTATTTTTATTTTATTAATAATTAACTTTTTTTTATTTTAACTACTGCATTATATTTTAATAATTAACAGTATTTTATTTTTATTTTATTAATAATTAACAGTATTTTATTTTTTATTTTATTAATAATAAACTGTTTTTATTTTTATTTTATTAATGATTAACTGTATTTCATTTTAATAACAATTAACAGTATTTTATTTTATTTTATTAATAACTAACAGTATTTTATTTTTAGTTTATTAATACTTAACAGTATTTTATTTTTATTTTAATTACTGCATTATATTTCATTAATGATTAACTGTATTTTATTTTATAATAATTAACAGTATTTTATTTTATTAATAATTAACAGTATTTTATTTTTATTTGAATAATTACTGCATTATATTTTATTAATAATTAACAGTATTTTTTTTTATTAATGATTGCTGCATTTTATTTTTATTTTATTAATAATACATTATTGGTTTTTGGCAGAGTTTGGCCACCCTGGATTAGTTCATCAGTTTTGTCTAATGTACAGTACATGCACAAACATATTACTCAGCATTATGTGGAACATTTTAATGTAAAAGAGAGATCTGTGAGGGGTGCACTCTTCATGCTCAGCACTGCACCATCAGCATATGTAGCATCTGAACAAAATGATGGGGAAATTGGGGAGTTGCACTGAATGCAAATAAGTGAGAACAGAAGAATGATGCCATCAATGAATCAGAATGGAGAGCCGGATGAGTGGAAAAGGCTGACAGGGGAAGACTAGAGCTGTTCTGAGGTCAGAGAGATGCTGTCCATCAGCAATAACACTTCACACTCAATGGCAGATCCATTAAAAACACAACTCATCTCTTCGGGATGCCTCATGTCCTTGTGTTGAAGGACAGCACACAAATCTACAGCTAAACATGGACTGCTCTTAAAACGTCAGACATGTCATTCTTATCTTTTTCATTACACACTTTTTAAAACTCAGTCACCAACAGGTAGGGCTAACTTTAATCTGAAAGTAAGAGCATGTTTAACTAGATGCTTTATGCAACTGGCCACAACTATTGCATTTCATGTTTAAACATTGAGAAAGCACAACAGATGATTTATGTATGAAGCCATTACGCTAAACTCATTTATCCTGTTCATTAAGGCCCAATCAAAATTCTACCCCTTACCCCTACCCCTGGGTTTTGCGTGTTCACGCCAAGGGGTAGTGGTGTCCCAATTCTGTTTTTAGCTTGAAGGCTTAGGACTAAAGGGAAGGGGTGAATAGCCATTCGAACAAAGATTTTTCAGAACCACACCCCAAACCAAAGGGTAAGAAAATTTCCCAGAATACACCAGCCAGAATCACTGCACCCGCAATTAAGGAGATCCACAAATTACTATTTTTAGTCATTGTTATGAATTTTTACAACAAACAAACACGTTTTACTATATTCATAAGGTTGTTACCGTCAAACGCTAAAATAAAAACTAAATTTGGCGATCTATAATCCATAATCATAACTCCTGTGCAGCAGTCCCACAACATTCTGACACTCGATTACCCGGTCAGTAATGTCTAGTGGCTGGGAATGAGCTGTTTACAGTGTCTGCTATAATATTAATGTTGTTTTCTTGTGTTTACATTGATGAATATGGCCACGGTGTTAAATGCGCAATATAGTTATGATCTTATTGCCACACTAGATCATTATGATAACATAATATAAGCCTTCAGCGATTTCCTGAAGATAAATACCAAAAAATATCACAACAGGAATAACTACAGCAGTGGCGATCGACTGATCTCATATAAAACAAGGGATCACGATGACATCTGATGACGTGTGCTGGAGTTGTAGTGCTGTCCCAAATCTTAGGGGTAAATTTTGAAGCCCTTCACCTTCACACTCGGTTTTAAGGGACAAGGGGAAGGGGTACAAAAATAGAATCGGGATTGGGCCCAAAGCTGACTTTTTAGGGTATCTTTTATCAGATTTTTTACAATTACTTCTGTACTTTAATTATAATTGCATTGTTTTTTTATTGTCTGTTCTATTATGCATGTATCATTGTATTTATCTTTTACTTTTGCACTTTTTATATGTTCATAAAGCACTTTGAGATGTGCTTTTTTTTTAAATGTGCTATATACAATAAACGTTATTATAATTAAATAAAGGGCACCTATTTTACCCCCTTTTCATTATTTAAGATCAGTCTTTTATGTCTCCAGAATGTGTCTGCAAAAGCTTCAGCTCAAGGCACCCATCAGATTAGTGATTATATCTTTCAGAATTTTGGATTTTCTGCTCTGAACACACTCTAGCTGTTTTTATTGCCTGTGCCTTTAATGCAAATGAGCTGGTTCTCCCCGCCCACTGTTCCCAAGTGCCTGCCAGAGTGTGCCTACTGTATATCTCCACCTCGGCTGTGTCAGATAAACAGCACAGTGACAGACACGAAGAAAGCAGATGCTGCAAAACGTTTGCGAGAAATACAGTAAGAACTTTCCCAATGATTATTTGATGTATTTGTTGTGATGCTGCAATGTTGTTACAAAGTTTACACTTGCTTGCTCGCACACACACAACATACAGCGCGCGTTTAACTTTGTACTGTTTTTGCACGGCAAATGTGACAGGATACAAGTTAATATCCACTACTGTGTGAATATTTGTTATGTTAATGTGCAAAATAAACCTGATTTAACGTCGACAAACCGGGATCGAAGAGTCTTCTTTTATAATTGTTCTGACACACAACTGCGGTGATGAGTAAAGACGGTAAAATCGCTGTAATTCATTACACACACGAACTATTTTAAAAGCGTGTTAAACTAGTGAACCTCATTCTTGATCACGTTTAATGATGATTGATGATCACAGAGCGCTGAACAGATCTTTTAATCTCAGTTGCATTGCGCACTACTGTCTTGATCTGATAACACATTACTACGGAGACATGTTAATATGTGGCTGTCAATCAAATCGGTGGGTGGGGAAACCGTACTCCTATGTCACGTTGCAATCAGCTTTAAAATGGAAGTGAATTGGATCTTATTTTAACATCAGGAAATTTAAAAAAAGAGACTTATTGTGTTTATATGCCCCCAATATGACAGTGGACACACTGCATTTACACACAGTTCTGTCCAAACAGCTTACAAAAGATGATTTTCAATATAGGAGCCATTTAATGCAACAATATCTGCCCATCTCATAGTGAAATAATAGTCAATTGTACCACATTACAATTCAAATTTATTATTTAATAAACTAACAATGACAATCCCTGTTATTTAATGAGCTTGAGCCATCAATAACTAACAAAGCTGCATTTTTATTAACTAAACTTAATAAAAATAAATACCATAATAAAAGCATTGCTGATCATCAAAGTATGAACTAACACAACCTTATTCTCTCAGTAAACCCTTTAACCTGTTCCCTTCTAAGCTCTCAGATCAGTCAGGACTGATTTAAAAGTATTCAACAGTATTTGCATATTTATCCACATTTTGCACACAATAGATTTGAATATAGCGAGCCAGAAATGAATAAATACAATCCCACATCACTGATATTCCAGCAGCACTTCTCTGTTGCACGCTTCCCAGCATGCAGAGATACTGCATCCTGTATTAAAGTTAATCTGTCACCACATTTGAGCATTGTGTGTGTGTGTGTGTATGAAACGCTTCTCCTGCTTTAAGCTGATCAGTTTCTGCATGACTCAGGTGCTTTTATAATCACAAACACACCAGATTCACACAAAACAGAGGAGGAAATGCTGTGTCTGAGAGCTGGAAATCACTGTATTAATGTCAAAGATGGCACAGACGGAGAAAATATCCTGAATTTAGCAGTTTTACATATTTTGTGCTTCAT